ATTTTGACTCATAGCGACCCTAGAGGACAGAGTAGAACTGCCCCATAGGGTTCTTAAGGCTGTAATCTTTACGAAAGCAGACTGCCACATCTTTCTCCAGCAGAGCGGCTGGTGGGTTTGAACCTCAGCCACGTGCTTTAACCACTGCACCACCAGGGCTCCTTATTTATTTAGACTAAGCTTTATTATCTTTCAAAAAGATAAACCAACATCTGCCATACATAGAGATATATGAAAATATGAGGTTAAGTTTTTTTATGATGAAATAAAACATCAGTTACGTGACCATTCTAATCCCCAAGTTTAAAAAATTAAAGCACTGGCTCTTTAGTTATAACCTGTTCCTATTCCTCTGTTTTCTTACCGTCTGTGGGCGACTGAAGTGTAGTTTCTCACGAGCTTCCTGGGACAAAGATACATCCCTGAGAGTCAAATAATCTAAGTCTTTTGGGAGCTGGAGAGCTTCATCTCGCTGAACTTCCTCTATTTCCTGCTGCTGATGGAACAATGCTGATTCATAAGTGGCTGGTGAACAAAATTAAAATTATGTTATATAAACAATTTGTATTCACATAGTCTTTTCCAATTTACAAAGAGCTTTTACATACATTATCTCATTCAACAGTCATCTCAACACCATGAGATAGGTGCGGCAGGTGTTCCCTTTCATAGATGAGGAGACTGAGGCTAAGATAAAGAGAGGGAGTGTCTTGCATATTAATTACAACATTTTGCCTGGTAGTTTAATGAATGGCCTTTTCATTTCAAGTATCTGGAAAATTAAAAGAATTTGCTTTTCCTCTTGTGCAAATTTTGGTCAGAACATTTCTCTCAATAGACTGTGGGTTTGAATTTCGGGTCCTCAAAATAGGATATTTCTCCCAGAAAACTTTTATTTGAATTATGTCCGTATAAATCTATAATTTTTTTAAAGTGGGGATTTTTGGCTGACAACACATACCACTTATTTTTAGTTAAAGTTTTATTCAGAAGTGATGTTAGAAAGACAATTCAATTATTTTGTTAACTAAAGCATACTGTTTTTAGCAAAACAAATTTAAAAACCCTGTTTTAAAACTCAAATCGAGGTGGTCATTCTCTCCTGTTCGAAAATAGAAGTTGTCTCTAAGGTTTTGGTAGCATCTGCTTCCATTACTTGACTGGAAGCCAAGAAGTCCCAGCTCTGGGCCTGGATCCACCAAAGAATTACGACTCTCTGACAATGGGTACATCGTTATCCTTCTGGGCCTCAGCTTCTTTATCCAGAAGTTGCAAGGGCCAGCGTGGATGACTTCTAAGGATCTTTATGGCAACAAAGAATAGTTATGAAGTGTGCAAGCTTTGTAATCCAACAATCAAGGTTCAGATCCCAGCACTGTAACTCACTAATTGTGTGATCTTGGGCAAACTACCACTTATCTGTAAAATTAGGACAATAATGCTAATACCTACCCCGCATAGGGAAGTTCTAAGTATCAAATGAAATAATGCATCTAAAGGGCTCAGTACAACATCTGGCACATCTCAATAAATGCTAACTCTCAGTAATTGTTTTAAATACAGTTTTATGACTCATGAACAGACTGTTTAGAGTGTCAGAATATAAACGAGGAGGTAACATATACAATAAGGGTATATTTATTTAATCTCTCAAAATATATATAGCAAAATAAAGAGATGACAGAAGGAAGAATCTGACATTGATTTCTGCCCTCAAGCAGCTTGTTGTCTAGTGAGGGAATCCAAATAGTGATTTATATTATATTTTAACCTAGTGCAGTTTCTTTTAAGCCATAGTTATATACTAAAGTCTTTATATATGCCAGAGTCTTTAAAGAACAAGTCAAAACAGTAGCTACTCCATGGTCCAACAAGTCAGGGTTTCCTAGAAACAATTTAAAGATAATTGTTCTAGTTACTCTAATCTGAACCTAGTGATTTATTGAAAAAAGTAAAATTGCAGACAAAGTTTAAAATATATAATCACCTCTTCCAGGTGCTAACTGCTCTAAATGTTCAATAAAGAAAGTTTTACTCAATAGAGAAATAATAATGTTGAAATAAAAGGTCAATATTACTTCTTATATTTAAGTACACTACTAGCATGCAAAAGCTGGACAATGAATAAGGAAGACCGAAGGAGAATTGATGCCTTTCAATTGTGGTGTTGGCGAAGAATATTGAATATACCCTGGACTGCCAAAAGAACGAACAAATCTGTCTTGGAAGAAGTACAACCAGAAAGGTCCTTAGAAGCAAGGATGGCGAGACTACATCTTACATACTTTGGACATGTTGCCAGGAGGGATCAATCCCTGAGGAAGGACATCATGCTTGGTAAAGTACAGGTTCATCGTAAAAGAGGAAGACACTCAACGAGATGGACTGACACAGTGGTTACAACAACGGACTCAAGCATAACAACGACCGTCAGCATGACGCAGGACGAGGCGGTGTTTTGTTCTGTAGCATGTAGGGTCACTATGAGTCGGAACCAACTTGACGGCACCCAGCAACAACAACAACAACAACAACAACTAGCTAGTTGGTGGAAGAACGATTCTAGAGTTTCTGGTTTGTCTCCTTTCGTTGCCAGACTTTTGTAAACTTGAGTAGTGGGATGGCAAGTAGCACTTGGGTCTTCCTATTCAGCCCAAAGCATAGCAAGGTGATAGACCTCTGTGGAAATGACAAAAAGGGCCACTCCTAGAAGGAATGCAACATTCTCACCACCTTGGCCAGTACCTAAGGAGCTTAAAGTTGTTTCCTATTTGAATAGCACATCATCATCCAATTTCTCCTACCCTTATCCCCATATCATCTTGTCCACTGCCTTTTTCACCACATAATTTTCTACCCCAGGAGAAACATCTTCTGTCAAAATGCAGAAGCTCATATTATATATTGTATTTTTGTTTATGTTTGAAAATTTTCATAATGAAAACTGTTTAATGAGTCTTCATTTATGATGATGGGAAATTTGGCAACAATTATGGGTGGTGATTGAACAACATGATTAATGTAATTGATACACTAACTTGTACACCTGAAAAATGCTGAATTGGCAAATGTTATGTTATGTATATTTTACAACAATTAAAAAAATGCACTGCAGCCAAACACCTATAGCCACTTGATCTTTGACAAGGGTGCCGAGTCCATTCCATAGGGAAAAAATAATCTCTTCAACAAATGGTGCTGGGAAAACTGAATCCCCACATGCAAAAGAATAAAGTTGGACTCTCTAGCTCACACCATATACAAAAATTAACTCATAGTGGATCGACCTAAATGTAGGAACCAAAACCATCGAACTCTTAGAAGAAAACATAGGGGTTTGGCAATGGATTTGGTGATGGATTCTTAGCTATGACACCAAAAGCATGAGCAACAAAAGGAAAAATAGATAAATTGGACTTCATCAAAATTAAAAACATTTGTGCATCAAAGGACATTATCAAGAAAGCAAATAGACAATGTACAGAATGGGAGAAATATTTTGAAATCATTTATCTGGTAAGGGTTTAATATCCCGAATACATAAATAACTCCTAAAACTCAACTACAAAAAGACAAACAACCTAATTACAAAATGGGCAAAGGACTCGAACAGACATTTTTTCAAAGAAGAAATCCAGACAGCTAAAAAGCACATGAAAACATACTTGACACCATTAGTCATTAGGGAAATGCAAATCAAAACCATGAGATACCACTTCATACCCACTAGGATGACCACTATTTAAAAAAAAGGGGGGGGGCTAATAACAAATATTGGTGAGGATGTGGAGAAATTGGAACCCTCATGCACTGCTGGTGGGAATGTAAAATGGTGCAGCACTATGGAAAACAGTCTGGCAGCTCCACAAAAAATTAAACGTAACGTTACCATATGACCCAGAAATTCCACTCCTGGGTACATACTCAAAGACTTGAAAGCAATTATCAAACAGATACTTACTTGTACACCAGTGTTAATGTAATATTATTAACAACAGCAAAAAGGTGGAAACAACCCAAGTGTTCATCAACAGGTGAATGAATAAACAAAATGTGGCATATACACACCATAGACTATTATTCAGCCATAAAGAAAAATGAAGTTCTGATACATGCTATCACATAGATGAACTCTGAAAACATTGTGCTGAGTGAAATAAGTCAGACACAAAAGAACAAATATTGTATGGTCTTATCACTTATATGAAATATCTAGAATAGGCAAATGTATAGAGACCAAAGAAGAATAGAAGTTACCAGGGGTGGGGGAGGAAGGAATGGGGAGTTATTGCTTACCGGGTATTGAGTTTCTGTTTGGAGAGATGATGAAGTTTTGGAGACAATGGTATGGTTGGACAACATTGTACATGTCATAAATGTCAGTGAACTGTACACTTAAAAATGGTTAAAATGGAAAATTCTGTTACGTATATTTTACTACAAAAAGTTTTTTTTCAAAAAAGCAGTAAAACTACAAAAGACATCTGTGGTCAATCAACTGATCAAGAGTAGGAGAGCACACCATATGGGGGCAGACTCTAGATTTCTTTGTCTGGTACAAAATAAGTATTTGTCAAAAGCAGAGTATTACCATATACTGTCAAGCCAAAGATATTATTTTTCTCATTATGAGGACATTAGATGGGGAGAATGTAAAAAGGAAGTTCAAGGGAAAAACAAGTAATTTTTTTAAAAAAGGAGACCTTAATAGTAGCACTCCCCCCAGACTTGAAATGTGCATACGAATAACCTTAGGATTTTGTTAAAATGCAGATTCTCATTCAGTGGGCCTGGAGTGGGGCCTGAGAATCTAACAAACTCCCAGGTGGTGCAATGTTGCTAGTCTGGTGACCACACTTTGAGCCTAAGATTATGCTGGTCCTACAGTAATAATGGAAGCCTGGTGGCATACTAACCAGTTAAGAGCTCAGCTGTTAGACAAAAGGTCGGCAGTTCAGATCCACCAGCCGCCCCTTGGAACCCTATGGGGCAGTTCTACACTGTCCTATAGAGTCGCTATGAGTCAGAACCAACTCGACAGCACCTAACAACAACACAACAACAACATGGTAATAATGGCTCCTCTTGGCACACAGCTACTAATGGATCTGCTGTCCTTTTACAATTTGCACAAATGGAAAAAAGAACATATAGGCATCTAAGTAAGAAATTATTTTCTACCTTCTATTTTCAGTCTTTCAGCTAGCTCTCTACATTCAGTGTACTTCTTCAAGGGCTCTGGAACAGCTTTGGCTAATAACTCCATGTCAACTTCCTCATATTTCAAAACATCTAGAGCTCTGCAAACACAAAAAAGTTTCATTAACATAAGGGTCCATGTTATATAAAGCAGACTAAGAACAAGATTCCTTAGAGATAGTACCAAATCTCAGAATTAATAACATCAAAAGATAATAATTCTTTCTAAGCACAGTGAGCAAACACAGCAGTATCTGCAACTCAAGACCTCAATAAGATTTAGTGTATGATTCTCCCCAACTCCCTTCCCTTATCATTAGAAGTAAGTTGTTGGTAAAGGTGGCATGGATGGAATCCATTTGTACTCCCCTTCTTGTAAGGACAGATTATCCTCTGATAACAAGGGTTTGATCCCATTTCCTAAGAATAGGGAATGTGCTTTTCACACACAGGGTCCTGTGAACGACAGTCCTTTTGCATGCTGGGAACCAGCTGAAGGAGATCTCTTGCTTTCTTTTGCAGAACTCCCTAAGCAAGAATAAGAGGCCATTGTGAGCACGTTTTAAGTCTCTGCAATACTGATGAAATGATATGGGGGTTCGTATGTGTTCTTCCACTCTGATATTTTTTCGTAATTTGGTATAATCTCCATTTCAATTTTTACTGTTTGGAAACTTCTGACAGTTAATTTTTAGATCTGCTACCTGCTCTGGATGGGCAAAAGCCTCCTGGGCCAAAACAAGGGGAGAGGAGAGCAATATACGCAGCTAATAGACAATTATTAAAATTCCCAGGCAATTTATACGCATCAACAAGAGAATACGCCTGATGCAAGGATGGCGAGACTTCATCTCACGTAGTTTGGACATGTTATCAGGAGGGACCAGTCCCTGGAGAAGGACATCATGCTTGGCAAAGTAGAGGGTTAGCAAAAGAGAGAAGACTCTCGAGGGGATGGACTGATACAGTGGCTGCAACAATGGGCTCAAGCATAGCAAGAACTGTGAGAATGGCACAGGACTGGACAGTGTTTCAATTCTGTTGTACACAGGGTCACTGTGAGTCAGAAGCAACTTGATGACACCTAACAACAACATTAATGCTGACAGGTAGATGAGGTTGAGATTTGTGGTAATTTGACTCACTGGCACTCATCAGGACCAAATTAGTGAGAAACTCCAGGTGTGTTTAGTCTTTAAAAGTACTAAACCCGAAATCCACTGCCATTGAGTTAATTTGGACTCACAGTGACCCTACAGGACAGAGTACAACTGCCTCACAGGGTTTCCGAGGCTGTAAATCTTTATAGAAGCAGACTGCCACATCTCTCTCCCACAGAGCGGCTAGTGGGTTCTGGTGGGTTTGAACCACTGACCTTTTGGTTAGCAGCCGAGCGCTTTAACCACCGTACCACCTGGGCTCTCAGAAGTTCCAGTACTCCTTTATAGGAATCTCAGGTTCTTCCCTCCTGATATCACCAACCCCTACCCCTAACTGGATCCTTGATCCCAGACCCTCTCCTAAGGTGAAGCTAACTAGACCATTTGTTGCTCCATTAATCATTACTGATTTCATTTACATGTCGATTTGTTGTTTTATTATAATTTATTTAAAAGTCAGGGAAGCTAAGAGAGATGCCCAATGAGACTTTAGCTTGGTTGAGTTCCAACACTGCTCCTGGTTCACCTCATTCCTGTGGCCCCAAGATCAAAACACATTCTGTAGTTTCCTCCTCCTCATTTTGTTTGGTTCTCCACAAGGCATCACAGACCTCTACAGTTTCTCTCCATTTACTGCCTTAATTCATTTTATTCCTATTTAGTAATAATATCTTTCTCTCTTTTAATAGATTACTTTTTTGATCAATTCTGTCTGCCCAAAACCAACTAATTATCTAGTCAATAGAATGTCAGTACTACCCATCCAAGGCTCTCCCAAGTCTTCCCAGACCTCCCAGCCGACCTTCTTTACAGTGAGTCCTATTATCACAGTCAAGCATTATTATCCTCTGCAGATGCTTGACTCCTTACCTCTCCTCAGATGGCATGGTCTAGGAAAGTCCAAAAACTCTTTCACCATAAGTAACTGGTCAACTTTGTTGCACTCCAGTAGACTAATTAAGTCAACTAACTAAAGAGACCTCATCTGTAAGCAATAATGGCACCATATAATCCTAAACTCCAAATGGGAAATGGTTGTCTTTTCAGAAATTATAGAACATACTGGAACACATCTCCTAATGACTAGCAACCTCCCTCCCCTACGCCCCCAAAAAATCTTGGAATCTAGCAGGATGGTGACCTCAAAGCAAAGCCCTTGACAATTGAACTTACCTCTGAAGTTTTAAAATAATTTGTTTACTATGGACCCCAGACACCCTTTTAGCTCAGTGGTGAAGTTATCTCCGAGGTTCACTGTTCAGCCTGGGAGTGGACAGCCCCGTAAAACCAAATGAGACTAACAAGGTACAGTAGTCCAGTGACAAGGGCCAGAAGGCAGAAGGGGACAAGGAAGCTGGTGATAGGGAACCCAAGGTTGAGTAAGGATATTGTTGATGTGTTGTGAGATTGTTAACCGTTGTCATAGGGCAACATTTGTAGTAACTGTTAAATGAGAAACTATTTTGTTCTGTAAGCCTTCATCTTAGTGAGAATAACAGCACAATTGGAAGAGCGTAGTCAATGTCACTGAACTGTGCATGTAGAAATGTTTGAAATGGTGTATCTTTAGCTATGTGTATTTTCACCAAAAAAAAAAGGTTGAGAAGTTAGAGGGTTGACACGTTGTGGGGTTGTTAACCAATGTCATAAAACAATATGTGTACTACTGTTTCATGAGAAACTATTTGTTCTGTAAGCCTTCACCTGAAGTACATTAAAAATAATAATAATAATAATAATTTGTTTACAAGGTTTTGAGCTGTTTGCAGGTCTAAACTTCAAGACCTGCTTTAAATCAAGTCTAAGTCTCAGAGTACAGAACTCTGGCACAGAAAGGACAAGTTAGCACATTTTAGCAGAACCTGGGAGACAATTTCTGAGCTACCTAACACATCAATGAGTTTCCCTGTATTCCTGACAGGAAATGTGTATATGTGTGTGTAGATGTATTTATGTACGTCTTCTGTTAAAATTCAGAGTATGGTTCAATTTGTCAGTGCTTAGCACAGAGTGTGGCATGCAGTAAACGCAATAAATATATTTTGGCCAATTTTCTGTCTACTTCCTTCTGAAGGAAAAGCTATCTGAATCCAAAGGGAAAGCATTTGACCAAATTACTTTTTAACACATCACCTGATACAAAATGGCTGCACATGGGATTAGTTTGGGAGCACTAGAAAATCAATAGCCTCCTTTTCCATATTTTTATCCATCGATAACCACTTTAACTGTGTGAATATGATCACTTTACCTCTCCCATTGTGACCTTTAATACATGGTAGTCATGTTTAAATGTAAATTCTAATTATATAAATTTGAAATAGTCCAATATTTGAAAAAAACAAAATATAGTGTTATAAATTCTTTGTGCAAATTTTGAAATAATGTGAACTCTCTTCCTTTTAAACAAATAGCTGGAGAACTGAGTGAACTGTAAATTATGTTTACACTACTGCCATGTGTTGGTGCCACTTAGCTGGTAAACAAAAATATCCACCATCCTTATCTGTGAATCAGGCCCTCATTTCTGTGAATGAGATCCCCTGATTTGAATGACCAGCATGCTAGTTCTTTACTATAAAAATCTGTTTAACATCCTATAACAGTGGTGCTAATGTTCTGGGAAATCCCTGTAAAAATGAAAACTCAGGAAGAGAAGTTGGAAAAGATAAAACCATGATGAAACCAAACAAGGATATATGCCAGGCTGTTCACTAAGGAATTAACATTAGAGAAAATAAAAAGCAGCATTAAAATGGGTATACCTTAAGTTCACAAACACCATCACAAGGTTATGATGAGGGTTAAAAAAAAAAAAAAAGAAAAAAATACACTGGAGACACAGCTGCAAGATCAACGTTGCCATAATGTGCCTCTAAGCTACAATGATTTACACCCTCTGAGCTCCCCCTCCAACCCTAATTAGTTTACCTTTTTCAAATGGGAAAAATCATTGGCAAAATATGCAAATTTTGAATTATGCAATGTTCTTAAGAGTGTATCTCTTGAGGGAAATGGGAATGCTCTATATTAATGACCTTAGATTGAGAATCCATGAAACTGGAATGATGAAGACAAGGACCTAAAAAACGAAAATGCAGGAAGGGACTCTTCAAGTAAGTCCAAAGAATTTGCTTTGTTTTATCAGGGAGGTTTCCTTCCCATAGCTCATGGACAAGATGAGACCACTCTAATTGCTCCATGCCTGGAATAGAAGGCTGATCACTATGTTCCTTGGTACGGGCCCTCTAAATCTTAGGAAAGCCAGAAGAACTCAATGGGAGCCACAGAGAAATTATACTCCAAACTTTTTCTATGAAACTTACATTTAGGAGAAAAAAAAAAAGTGTTGTGATAAATTCCAACCATGAGTCTTAGATTTAGCTATTAGGGCAAAAAGCAAACATTGTGGAGCACAGTTAGTCTCAAAGAGGAACTGTGGAAGCAAAGATGTCCTCTAATGACCTGATGAGCCATTTTACCTTCCCTACCCTTCTATACTTTGTAGCTCCCAGAAGTCTCCCCAGGTGAGACTAGATCACACTTCCATAATCTAGCTCTTTGAGATAAACAAAGAATCTAATAAAAAACTTTTGGACACCAAAATATTTTAACCTCAGCATGTAGAAATTTTTGAAATGGTGTATCTTTGGCTATGTGTATTTTCACCCAAAAAAAAAAGGTTGAGAAGTTAGAGGGTTGACATGTTGTGGGGT